GAGGGACCGAATTATCCATTTTTTGAAGTGTATTCTCATTAGTTTGAAGTGGAATAAATTAACGCAGACGACGTCATAACCTTTTGTCTATATCGAGTAAAATGCGCAGGAATCTCATAAAGAAAAGGTCGTGTGCTATTTTTAGTTGGTTTAGGTTTTCTAGTTACTTTAAGTTCGATAAACGTCTTCGTTTTCGATTGGTTAGTTAGAAAACAAGAAACTTTTTCATTGGTTAATTCATAGTGTTTGAGGAGTAAAGTCAAACTTGTCTGTGACTTAAGGGTGTCTGTAAAATGAGGAAACGGACGGCGGACGGCGGAAAATAAAAAAATAAGTGAATCAAAATAAATATATAAATAAATAACTAAATATATGTATAAGATAAATATTTAAGATAGATAAATAAATAAGACAAATAGAATTCAAAATATTAAAAATACAAATATCAGTTGTTACATCTCTGGATCGTCGTAGAGAAGATAAACGGAGGAGGCAGTTATGAAGCCTGCTAGAATGTCACTTCCAACTCGTGGCTGGGAAGAAAAGATGTGTGGTTTCTGTCGTTTCAGTTTGCAAAATTCTTTTGCGATATGATCCGTGCCGTGATGTCAAAAAGAATGGACAAAAGAAGCCACGCTTGGCCTAGAGGTAAGTTAATTTTTGCAGTATATATCTTTAATCTTTTTATATACATTTTGCTGTTTGCCGCAGCCCACTGCTTTAGATCTCTTCCGAGTCAACTGACTCACAAACACACAAACAAAACTTTAAAAGGGGGAAGAGCGGGTTCGGCCTCTCGCTTAGATTCAAACCTTTTTGAAGAGGGGTGAGAGGGGAGAGTTCGAACAAAAAGACGAAATGGATATAGTTAGCCTAACTTTAAGGGATTGTTTAGGTCTCAGCTTTCAAGGGATATACATTATTTATTTATTAATTATTATTATTATTATTATTATTATCATTATTATTATTATCATCATCATCATCTTTTTTTATTCAATTTGGTCTCACTTTAATAGCAAGGGCGGAAATTTATATTGGGGTGGCCGCGGCTAACCCCTTATTTCGCTTATGCTTGAGGTGTTCAGGACGGAAAGTCCATATTCTTACCCACAAATGTTTCGCTTAGGGTTGTGTGAAAAGAAATACCTATAAAAAAATTTCACGAATGCCTTAACTGCGAGTGTGATTTTCTTAATGAGTAACTGAATAAAGCCTGAGCCTGGCCTGAGCTATGTCCATGTTGTTGTCCTTAACAAAGTTTTTAAATTCTAATTTTCCAACGAGCATCCCCGTTATATTGATATGGGAATCCTACCCCATCCTCCCCCACATTGAATGAACAGTTAGTAAAATAAACAAATCAGACACAAGGTTAGTCATTTTTGTTTCGAAGTTTTTCAAAAGGGAAAAATTGAGACGATTATTGTTTTTTTAATTTCCAAACTCGTTGTTGGGGCTGACCTTCCTTTGCTACAGTTCATGCACGCAAGCTGCAACATACTGCACGTGCTTTCTGAAAACCAAAAAGAATGCTATTCCTGGGAAAATTTCATCAGTGATGGCACGTTTGCTACTCCGCGAATAGGAGAACGATGAGTAGCAAGGCTCGCACAAGGCCAGAAGGCTGGCTATAAGAGACCGAATTTCTTCAACTATTAGAGATTAACGTGTGAGCTATTGAAGTAAACCATTCAATAATTTTATAACTGTTGTGTGTAATGTATTAGTCCGCAGATTGATTGGCTAGTTTGAAGACGAGCGGTCGCATAGTGGCTCGATTGAAGTAGCCCAAGTCTTTAAAATTAAACGAAAAATGAAAAAATAAAAGAAACATAACTAAATGAATGTTGGCATTGAAAGCAATCCCTTTAAGTTAAGCCATCTGAAGTTATTTTGTCTTTTTTCTCGGGGAGGTACTCCTGGGACTTCTTGGTGAGGATACTTTAGACCAAAAAATGTCATTTTTCACACTCGTCTTCTGACCTAGCCGCTAGTAAATTATGTCATCATTATTATCATTACTTAATAGATAAGAACCGCAACAAAAAAGATTCCTTAAAATCCATTTCCAATTGGCATGGTTTTCTTTCTTTCTTATTCGTTTGGAATTGAACCGATAAATACGTTCATACCATTACACTCCTTTAGTTTCCTCGAAAACCATACTAGATTCCAGACCAAACTGGGCAAAGTCTAGAACCGTTTTAAGACCAGAACGTCGCAAAAACCCTACTCTTTGGTGCGGCACATACCTATATGGCTTATATAAGGGAGTACTCCCCGGGCTTTTTTTAATGCCCCTCCTCTCACCCCTCTTCAAAAAGGCTTGAATCTAGGCGGGAGGCCGAACCCGCTCTTTCATCTTTGGAGGTTTTGTTTGTGTGTTTGTTATATAATCGGAATCAGTTGACCCGGAAGAGATCTGAAGCAGTGGGCTGCGGCAAACAGCAAATGTATAAAAAAAAATAAGGATACCGCAAAAATTAACTTACCTCTCGCCCAAGCGTGGCTTCTTTTGTCCATTTTTTTCGATATCACTGCACAGACCATATCGCAAAAGAATATCGCATACTGAAACGACAGATCTTTTCGTCCCAGCCACGAGCTGGAAGTGACATTCTACCAGGCCTCATAACTACCTACTCTGTTTATCTTCTCTCCGACGATCCAGAGATATTTGTCTTATTATTTATATATCTTATATATTTATATTATACATTTATTTAGTTTTATTTTTATTTTCCGCCGTCCGCCGTGCGCCGTGCGCCGTCCGCATCCGCCTCCGTTTCCTCATTTTACAGACACCCGTGACTTAAATCACTGAGACGTAAACGTGACTATGCAAGTCCTATTTCCTGCTGCTGTGATTGTCCTAGTTCCGGTTCACTGATTTTTGGCAGGCAAATCGTGCATATTAATGAGGGCAAAGGCAAACTAGCTCTTTTTAGTACGAAAGACAATGTTTTACTTACCTCACACCCCTCCTACTCCTCCGCAATTGATTTAGTTTCCCTTTTTGATCTTTCTTTTTATTTTTAATTTCCATCCACGACTACATCGACCCTACATGGACCCCACACTGACCCTACCCTCATTTTTTTTTCCACCACCACATTACGTGGATCACTTAGGGTGTGTTGACTGTGTTCCTTTCGGCAAATCCAAAACGGATTTTTGATCCGAGATTCGCCGGATTTCGCGGTGGAAAGGAACGTGAAATCCGAAATTCGATTTGTGACCTTGGTAACCTTTCGAACATACGTGCAATATATATGACAACCTCTCAAGAAATGACATGTTTTCTACTGTTTGACGTGCGATTATACCGCGCAGAATTTTGTGGTCGGCAGTTCTAATAAGGACGATGGAACATAAACAGATCAAGAAAGAAGCGTGTTAAAGTTGAAAATTATTTAAAGGTTGTCTGCTCAGTTTGATCCTGTTTCGTAGCTCGGTTTTTTATGTAACACGATCGAGTGCCTAGCGCGTCTACAAGCATTTTGTAGAAAGATAGCAATTCATTTGTCCCTTTTACTTATTTTTGTTTTTAAGCAATCTTTAGCGACAAATGGTCAGCACATGGATATTTTACTGCACCAGCAACAATCTTCTAGTGTTTTGAGATGTTTTACGGTAAATGGCAGCAACTCTACGGGAATACTTCAACTGGAAATACCGCTGGATCATCTGACTAATTTCGAATCCACTGTGAATGGAACAACGTAGATCACTAATCCGTTAATCTGGATTCGGATTCCTCGGATTTCAAATCCAGTGAATCCTTTTTCAAAATGGATTGACCAGATCAAAAATCCGAATTTAGATTTTCGAAAGGAACGCGAAATCCGCTTTAAGATCTCAAATCCGCTTTTGGATTCACCGAGAGGAAGTCATTCTTGATTGTGAATGGCGATGTATAGGTGTTCGATACGCAAAATGTTCACTGAGAAATTGCACAACTGTAATGATTTCTTTACAACTCATCGCTATCCCCCTTTCTTAAAATTCCGATAGAGACAAAGCATTTTCGTTCAATTTCCGACAGCGACGTGAAGCATTTATAAAAACCGACAGGAGACGTTTTTTAAAATTCAGAGCGACATGGGACACCCCCCCCCCCCCCTGGCAGGGCCCCAAAGACACCCAAGGCCTGTGTTAATAAACAGTGGTGAAAAAGTGGTGGTACACTTGCTTGTTTTTGAATGGAATAATCCAACTTTCACTTGTCTGTACT